TACGTAAGCGGTGGCATATGGTTCGATTGACAGAGGAGTGGGGAACGGTCAGACGTAGGGGGAAGGTGCAGGCTGAACCGTTCAGCACAGCGCAGCGTCAGTCACCGGGTGGGGAAGAGAGTCCGGGAGGGGACACTTCCCCTCGAGTGAAATAGAAAAAGGCAGAATCCTTCGAAGTTTATATTAATGATGTCTTGTCCGACTTCTCTGATTGACTCGATCCACTGTGCGCCGCTCTCTCGGGATGATGCCCCTCCCCCCCCCCCAGCCTCCACAGTCGACCCTTTTCGTGCACCCTGCGATTCGGCGATACGTGCCGATGCGTCAATGGACCCAAAAATGTAGGAGGAATTAGATTTGTTTACTCGTTCTTCCGCTATTTCGGCCTAGAATTCGTCTCCAGGATGCCGAAGTTTCGTGAATTTGACAAAAAGGCTTCTATTATGAAGGGTCATCCCCATTTTTTCAAAGCATTTTATTCATTTGTGGCTGAAATAAAATCTCATGGAAAAACAAATTCTGGTAAAAGCTTCAGCTTCGCGTCAAGTACCTATGATTTTAACGATGCATCGCAAATCGATGGCTCGTGTATAAAAATGAGATACTCCTATTGCAACTTTCCTAGCATCCGCTGAGAATTTTTTTCCTTCTGTTTTTTGACGAAAAAAATTATGCCAGAGTTTTTCTTGCTATTTCCTGTGTATTCTCTGTATTAGTTCGAGAATATTCACAGAAAATTGCAAGGGAATATTTTCATTTGCGTTCTAAGAAGAAAAAAAAAAGAAAAAAAAAAAAAAAAAAAAAAAAAAAAACGGTGTATGAATACTTAAGAACGTTGCAACATTCTGACGGAGATATACATATTTCTCGACTTCGGTCATAGCGTCAAAGTGTGCCGTTCGGTGTGCTAGACTTGCTTTGCATTGCTACATTGCTAATTCAGGTTTTCAACTCACTCAAGCTATAAAAATTACGATGAAGGCTTTTCTCATTAAGAATTTTTACTGTCAGCGAACGCAATTAACAAAATAAAACAAATCCTTTTTTTTAAAGGAGGCAAATATAGTGTAACAAGAAAGGAGTAAACGATGTTTCTAAAAATAAATTAACGAATGTTGCGAAGTAAGTATTTCTGAGAAGTTTGCATTATCAATATATCAAATTAAAATCTTACGATGTGTCCTCGCAACAACAAATTTCAGATTTGTAGGGCTTTAAAAAAATTAATTGCTGAAAACTGCGGCTGAAGGTGGCAGGACTTTTTTGCTTGGTTTTTAATAACTCGTTCCTCTCAGCAAAAAATTGTAAAAATAACACACGATATGCTTGCAATGAAAATAGGATTAATCAAAACACATTCATCAATTACAATCCACACAGTTAAAGTTAGTGTAAGTAGGTAAGTTACTTTAACGAGAGCCCTAGTTGGCTACGTTACTAAAGTTAAATATCAATAGCTAAAGTTCAAGACCAGGTATCTCCGTTTGCGCAGTTGTAGACTTGCAGGCATACTTTATTTTTTCCTTGGAAAACTAGTCAACGTAATTTCCTGAAAACTTTCTTGATATTTCTCTTGTTATTAGAATATTCTGTATAAATTTCAAGCAATTAAGGTGACTGGTTCATCTTCGAAAGAATAAACTAGGAGCGAAGATTTTGAAACACCGCAATGATGATTCGTGGTGTCACACTTAGCCATCGATACGCGTCTCTTATTACTTTCAGGATTTTTCTGAAATTAATAGGTTTATGATGCTACGTTTGCTACGTGATACCAACTCTATGTTCCTTCCTTACAACCTCCTAAAACGATTAGATACCGTATCGTGGATGAAATGAATCCTGGATTGTACACTGCTGAGAAAAAAATATCGGACATATGAACTATAGTGTGGCTCCTAAATAGACGCTTTCCGGTTAACGTAACCGTATACTTTTAAACTGAACCGACCTGCGGAAGGAGTTTGGCAGTATGAACCGACTTGTGGAAAAAGTTCAGTTGCATGGACTGAACTGTAAAGGAAGTTGTTGGTTGCATGAATCGAAAATACTATTACATGAACCAAATGGTGCAACACACTGCTACTACCGCACCATAAATTGTGTTGTCATGCTAAGGAAAAACGCCGTATAAACATTCGAGAGTTGCCAAATTTCCTCGGATGAAACATGTCTTTTTAGGAAAGTCATGCATATTTTTTCTTGGAATTTTCAGATATTTTAAATTAAATTGAAGAAAAATTGTCTAAAAAATTTGAAAAAAAACAATATGAACACAATTTTCCCAATTTTTTTTTATTTAGGGAGCTATGACAACGTCTGAGGGGTACCTTCTTAGCACGACAGTATGGTTCATGTGACCGAGAGTTTTTCCTCAGTGTAGTGACAGAATCAGGTCTGGATGAGATTTAATTATCATGATTCAAGTTGGTTTAATGATATATTGCTTTATAGGCACTTTTTCCATCTTATCTAGATCGATTTGGAATTGTGTTACAAGTTGACCCATTTTCTGTTCACTTCGCTTAAGGATGTCGATCACTGGTCGTAGCTTGTTCAACTCCTCGTCGGGCAGTAGGCGTATTTGCTCCTCCAAAAGTGAATACATTGCAGCTAGCCTTCGCACTTGATTATTCATATAATTCTCCTCTCGTAGGAGCTTTGTTTTCTGGAAAAAAGTTGTAATTCAAGGCTGAGGATTTATTTGGTTGTCAGATAGCTGCGCAGGGGCAGATTAAGGGGGTGGTGGCCACATGGGCCGCGGTCCATGGCGGCAAATCCAAGGGGCGGTAAAAATTTGTAATTTTTTAAATTGTAGGTATAAAAAAAACGGATTTATAAGAACAAAATTACAAACGAGAAAAGGCGACAAAATCTCTCATTCCCTAAGAGTATAGTAATTTGTAATTCTGTCGTCTCTTAGTGATACAAGAGACAGCACCTTCAATAAGTCGAGTTAAGAGAGAGACCAAACGCGCAATTTGGCCTGGAACGGCGCGACTTAGAGAGAAATGATAAAGAGGACTTGCGATGAAAAGGAGAAGCCCTCGGCGCGGCGATCGGCATGTAACACATATTAGCGCCTAGAAGACTGCACGAATACTTCACGCATTGCATCAAACACAGTGCGGTCATTACGGTTAGCGTGAAACAGATAGCGCCTACAAGAATGCATGAATACTTCACGCATTGCGCCAAACACAGTGCGGTCAGCGTGGAACGCATAGCGCCTACAAGACTATCGGAATACTTCACGCATTGCGCCAAACAAAACGGTCTGCGCAGCGCGGCGGTGGAAGTTAAAGTCATTGATTCATATTTATGTTTGTTCTTTCATAATTTTTTCGTTCGTTTCTTATGAATGGAAGGCCTTGTCCACACAGAGATAGGTTTACGGAACTTAACTTTCGCGCAAAGTTCCGTGAACTTTTGCTAGTAGTGTTGACAGGGAGGGCTTTCCCAAAAAATGTGTTCAACACGAGTAAATGCGTCTTATGCACCCCTCCCCCGCTGACACGTTCATTTGATGGTTTTTATTGATGTTTCAAAATGAATGAGGAGAGGGCGGCGAAATACTAGCGGCCCATGGGCGGCAAGAAGGTGAATCCGGCCCTGTAGCTGCGAATTGATTAATAAACTTTAGTCAACGATTTCTTTTAATTGATTCTTAGCACAGGAAAGAAAATAAGGAAAAAGAAGGAAGGAAATAACGTGAAAAACTGAAGGAAATAATCGGAGTAAAAAAAAGGAAAGACACGAGGAATATAAAAAAAAAATGTGGAAGGAAAAATGTTGGAGGCAAAAAATTGAATTGAGAAAAATTTAAATACAAGGAATATTTACAAAAGAAAACAAATGAAATAATGAAAAAATAAAAAAAAATAAAAAATAAAGAGAACGGAATAAAAAAATTAAAATATAACAAAATTATAATAAAAGAAATGATGAAATAGAAAGGGGAAGAAAGAAAAAGGAAAAATGAAGAAGACATAATATGAAAAAGAGAAATAATAAAAATTGGAAATTGAAAAAGAGAAAAAATCGGAATGGAAAAATAAAAAGGGAATGGATAAGAAAGCGAAAATTTGAAAGAGGAAAAAATGAAGAAAGAGAAAAACCTGAAAAAGGATAAATATTTAGCAAAGAAAAAAGTACCGTTGGATAGAAAAAGAAAACAATATCAAAAATGGAGGAAATAAAATCTGGAAAAAATACATAAGGAGGGAAAAAATAAATCATTAAAAAGGGGAAGGAGAAAACAGGAAAAAATTAAATGGGGAAAAAATTAAATGGGAAAATTAAAAAAGGAAAAAATTACAAAAATTAAAACAAGGATGATAAGAAAAACTTGGACAACCAGAACCATCTCTCACAGGTTATTCACGACAAAATCCAACGCTAAGTTAAATTCAAATTAAAGTGCATAGAACGACAACGCGGCAGAGTCAACCTAACCTCTCTCAACACAACACCACTCATCACAACGGTGCGGCGGGCCACGTCGATCGATAGCCCCAGCCGCTTGCTCATATACCGGTGTATTTCTCCGTTTTCTCGACTGGGAGTCGTGGCGTGCTCCTGTAATCCAGCTACCTGGAGGTCGGGTAATCTGGATGGTTTGAGGCTGGGAGTTCTGGTTGGCAGTTCTCTGCGTCGACCGAGCGTCCGCACTAAGCTTGTCATCAATATGGTAACCCTGGAGGAGTCCGGGGTAACCAGGTTGGCTAAGGAGGGGCGAACCGGGCCAGGGGGGAAACCCAGCAGCCAAAAGTCCCCGTGGTGAGCAGTAGTGGGATAGCGCTTGGGAGTAGGGTCTGTCAGTCAGCCCAGCCAATAGAATCGGACAGTTACCTTTTGCATATTTTTGGTGTGACGAACTTTGTTCACCCTGGTTCAGCATAGAAGTTTTTATAAAAACGAAAAAAAAAAATGTATCTTTTGCATATTTTTAGTGTGACAATGATTGTTCCCCTAGTTTCTATAGAGACAATTTTCATTTTTTGAAAAGGAAAAAAAAATGAATAAATAACCAAGTTACCTTTTGCATATTTTTAGCGTGACATTGATTGTTCCCCTAGTTTCAATAGAAATAATTTTCAAATTTTGAAAAAAAAAAAAAAAAAAAAACAATGAAGATAAAAAATAAAAAAAAGCCTGAATTACCTTTGGAATATATTGGGGTGGAATTTTTTTTTTAATTTAGATTGATTTTGAATCAATCCGATTGATTTTTTGGAGAGAATAATCCGAGTTTCCTTTTGAATATTTTCGGGGTGGAAATATTTGTTCAGCTACTCTCACCTTGGAGGTAATTTCAATTTTTTAAATAAAAACTTTAAAAAAGAATCAAATCTGAACTTTATAAGGATGTCACAAAAACTTATAAATACCTAGGAGCCTTATCCACTGTGCTTAAAAATTTGCGATTTGTGGAACTATATCAAATAAGGGTTTGATCCTGCTTTGTTTCAGGTATTTTATAATTTTGTATGGCTTTTTATGTTTTGTTTCCCACATTTTACATCCCTCATTAAATTTCTTCATTTCTGTGTTCTATCTCGTTTCTTAATGTTGATGTTTATTTTATTTTATTTCAGAGGGTTAAAGGTATAGAAGATATCCGTAATTATATGTGATTTTTGAAACTAATACGTGAAACGCACTATATTTTCACTGCAAAAAGTTCACCCCATTTGATTTAGATCTGTTCTACGGTTACGGAGCGACGGAAATACGGCAAGCGCGAGTCAAAATCCAAGGGTATGGGTTCGAATCCCGGCGGAGACATAATTTTTTTTACTCAAAAAAATTCAATCTAAACCAAGTAGATCAAATCTTTGCTTTAATTTTTCAAATTTTATCAATTTTTTTTAATTTTTCAAGCCATTTTAGCTATTTTTAAGCTTGTTGTCTGAAATCTCTTTTACACTTGTTCTGAGTTTAATGCTCTAAATATAAAAAATTACGCAGTACCTACTTACTGAGTTTAGTGAAATTTCAAAGGAATGGATGAGAATAGGTAAAATTTGCACATGAATGAGGAAAGTGACATAATTAGGTATACCGATCAACTTCTAGGTGGCTCTGGTCGAATAGCTATCAATATGAAGGTGAATTCAATTTCACGCAGTGAAGCGCCGCCACAATATTAAAATTTGAAGAAAGATATGTAATAATTCTATGATTCGTGCGCATTTTTATGATAAACAGCTTAAAATCAGCCCTATAATGCAGGGATGTTTTGTAACTCATTACTTGAAGAAGAGGAGGGGGGGGGGGTTAAAAGCTGTTTAGGAAAGGTAAAATTGGAAAGGAAAAATCTCTAAAAATCTAGGGAAATGACCTGAAATAGAGCGACATTGTAGGATATTGGTTTAATTTTGAATATGGAGGGAGGGTTGGGGATCAATTGAACTACATTCAGCAATTTGGAACTAAAAATTCTGGCTCTTCTGGAAAAACTCTTATGTGCATAGGGAAACTAATGGCACATACGTCGTTTTTAAACCGGGCCAGACTTTATAGTTCCAAATTGCAAAATGTAGTCCAATTGTCCCCGAGCGTTGCTATTTTTAATCGGAACCCCTGAGAATATCAAGATTTAAAAATCGAGTTTTCTCATTATCATAATTTCGTTCTACTTTCGTACCATTTTGTTCTGCCAAAAAAAATTTTTAAAAAAGGGAAAAAAGTCTAGGTAGAATAATTAGAAATGCATTGTTCTTACCTCTTTCACATCTTGTTCCATAGAGGTCAATCGGCGCTTGTATGTGTTGAACATGATCCGACCAGCATCGAAAAAGCGTCGCACGTTCACCAATATTTCATCCGCCTCCCCGGCTATTCCTAGGAATTTTACGGTATTGTTATTTTTCTGGATCGAGGCTGCCTCCATTGCCTCCTTTATGATGGCTTTCCGGTTGATCTCCACGCTCTTGAATACATCCAGTAAATCGTCGAAACTCTTGTTCTGCTGAGTTGAAGTTGGAGTTGGAACTGTCTGCAATGAGCAAAAGAAACATTAAAATGAACGTCCTAACTTCGCTCAGAATTACTCCAGATTGTTCGTTTTTGCGATCCCTCTTTCTTCTTCATTTAAATTTGTGAAGAAGCAAACACGATAATATTTAGTCCCTTTCATGAAGAAAAATGCTTATTGTGTCTCACTTTTACCTGGTTAATCTCTCGTTAATCCCATACAAATTTTAGTTGCTCTCCCTTTGGAGAAAATATTTATGAATCCGATAGCAGTTAATAAAAAATCTAGGTGCAGGCTACATTTTAAGAGGGAAAAAGTAGATCATAATATAATTTTCAATTTTTTACTAGTATATTTACCAGACCTTATTGTACTATGATTTCGTCATTGCACCCAGAAAAGTTTAAACGTGCACTTAGACTTGTGATGTCACAGAATTTCTGTCGCATTTCATTTCAATGGTAATCGCTTTCGTTCCAAATTCCGCGGAATTCATTATGATTGTTCTTCAAAAATGTCACACTTAATTCGTCAAAATTGTGTTCCCAAAATTTGGAAAAATTAAAACATTGGACAGCTCATTAAAGTAGGTTAAAGGAAAATTTACATATCATGTTCAAGAATCTAATTTTTTGCGATTTCGAGAGCCGACAACATTATAATATATAAATAATGCGCTTCTTGGAATATTGAGAATGTCGCATTAAAAAGCAGTGATAGTTTACTTCATCGGGACGATAGACAACGCTGGAGCTGAGTAAAGGGGGGGGGGTCAGAGAAACAATCAAAGCTTCAGTTAGAGTCGCGTGCGTGGGACGGACACTAAACAAATTTCATCATAACGCCTGGATGCAACTATATGAGCTCCGTGGATGTCCGTGTTGCATACGCTTAGATATGAAGGCGTTTAGACTTCAGACAATAACCGCCTTTACAGCGGCGCTCAGTGGAGCTGGTCAATGAGAGGAGTCATACAAAATGTGGAAACATTAAAAGCTCATAACGATGTTAATACGGTGCAGGGAGGTCTTTGAAATGCTTTCATGGATTTTCTCGTAAAATTTCCTTCAAGATGCACTCCATATAATTTATAATGTCAAGAGATGAACATCAAAATTTGCAGTTTTAGCAGAAAATTTCATATACAGCCTCTCTGAAAAGCTCAATTCATTGTGCGGCAGGCTTTATTGCGAGGATCTGAAAACATAGAGCACCCTCAAATCTTCATTCACACTTCGAAGACATTTATTAGACACGAACATTGCTCTAAAAATCATGCTCAGCAGATCATGATATGAAAACTAAAGCACAAAAATTGCACACATTCTATGCCTGTATTTAATTATTTGTGCCCAGGAGACATATTTGTTGTATGAACGAAGAATTGAAATCGATTAACCTTATGCAGTTAAACCCGCTGCACAGTGAATCATCGAATCAATTAGAGAGGTCGGACATGAAATTGTTTACAAAACCTGCAAAATGTTTATTTCGCCACATTTAAAATTTCACTGGGTGCTTTTAGAAGAAATTTTCACGAGGAAACCAATGGCGCCCTTTTTTAGAATCTACAAATTTTGTACAAACGGAGTTGTAAGAATTTAAAGTTTCCAAATTTTGTCCAACTTCTCTCATTGACTCGATCCACAATGCGCCGTTAGCCCCGACAGCCCCGACCAGCCTCCGCGTTCCGGGTTGCGCGAGTCAAAGCGCCTTTAACTCCGTGCGTATGCAACAAGGACATCCGTGGAGCTCGAATATTTGCATCCAGGCGTTTTACAGTTTTAATCGAAAAGTTGAAGCCAAAGTTGGCATTCAACTGCCTGCGCTCACGGTTGTCTCCTCCTGAAGCTCATCCACAACCTCATCGAATTTCTTCATCAATGGGACCAGTTCCTCTTCGCTCTTTTCAAGAGCAGTGATCACAGATTGCACTAAAATCAACTCAGCCTGAGACACCTCTCTCATCAGACTATCTAAAGTTTTATGGATCGCAGCCAGTCTGTGCAACTGATTATTCAAGTAGTTATCCCTATGCAGGAGCTGAGTTTTCTGGAACAAAAATGAAATTGAAATAGGACTGCATCTTGCAATTTGGACCTGTAAATTCCGGCCTGGTTTAAAAACAACGTATGTGCCATTAATTTCCCTATGCACATAAGTGCTTTTTCAGATGAGCCAGAATTTATAGCTCCAAATTGCAAAATGCAGTCCAATTATGCGGGCGCGTATCTCGCGAGTTAGCAACATAGTTTCTCCTCAATTGGACTGCATTTTGCAATTTGGACCTATAAATTCCGGCCCGGTTCAAAAACAACGTATGTACCATTAGTTTCCCTATGCACATACGTGTTTTTTCAGATGAGCCAGAATTTATAGCTCCAGATTGCAAAATGCAGTCCAATTATGCGGGCGCGTATCTCGCGAGCTAGCAACATAGTTTCTCCTCAATTGGACTGCATTTTGCAATTTGGACCTATAAATTCCGGCCCGGTTCAAAAACAACGTATGTACCATTAGTTTCCCTATGCACATAAGTGTTTTTTCAGATGAGCCAGAATTTATAGCTCCAAATTTCAAAATGCAGTCCAATTAAAGGGATGATAAATAATCGATTTTAGGTGAGAGAGCCAACATCAATATCGATGCCTTGACTACGAGACCAAGTATCTCCGTTTGCGACGTTGTGGACTTTCAGTCATACTTTATTTTTTCCTTGAAAATAGTCAACGTAATTTCATGGAATCTTCCTTGATTTTTCTTCTCTGTTAATAAAATACTCTGCATGTATAAATTTCAAGTCATTAAGTTCAGTTGTTCCTCCTCGGAAAATGAACTAGGAGCGGAGATTTTGGAACATAGCAATGAAGGTACTTAGGTACGTGATTTCGCACTTTAACCATCGATACGTTGATGCTGAAGTCGGAAATGCGTATCTTCGAGATTGACTCAGTAACATCAATGACAATCTCCCCGTATCAGGCTCGGACTGGCCATAAAGCCAATCTGCCATTAGCAGATACACCCCCTTGGCGCGCCGAAAACGCGCCCCTCTGACAGATAGCAAAATATAAGAGGAGAAAAAAAATAACGACCGAAAATATATGCGGAAATTTTCTTAAATTAACGGAAGAAGAGAGAGTTAAGAGAAAAGAAAGGTGCTTTCACGCATGATAGTGGTGAACAAGGGTCCAAGAACCGCTTCCTGAATTGTGAACATGTTTCTGTGAAATTTTCACCATTTTGTTGACACACAGGCGCTTTATCATCCCCCTCCTCCATTGTCTATGTGTAACTCCCGTAGAAGCGATAGCCATTTCGATTTTTAGACATACGCACACTTTGTAGACCTACTGAGAGACCTTTAAACATATTTCTTCCTTTTCAAAATGTCTATTGATTTGGACATATCAAAGCATATCTCGGGCAAACTTAACCTTAATTTATTTCGAAATTCAGAAGTAAGAGACATATAAACTATTCTCGCAAGATGAATGTCCACATTGCATATGAAAAATGTAAGACGCGATGGCGTGAGTCATGAACTCGCAATGCTCTGCTCTAGTTTAAAGCAACATTACAAATAAAACAAACGGAAACAAACACAACATGGAAATAAAGCGAGGGAAAGGATGCGCGTTAACGACGGCGCAAAGATACAACTAATCGTACTCGATGAACGTCCGTGCTGCATCTGAAAAATTGAAGGCGCGATGACGCGAAGCGTGAGTTCTCAATGCCCTGCAATATGCTGGTAATGAAGTGTCGCTCAGATTCGGGAGAAAAGTTTAAAAAGAGGCCCGAATACGTCTTTCTTGACGTCGGCTGTGTTGATACTCGCGTTCTTTCTTCTTTTTTCAGGTTCTTGCCCGATTTTTTTTTAGGATGGATTTTTATACCCACGTCTTAAGCTCGTGTAAACCGCAGCACTGACACGGTTCTTGTGGAAATAATGGTGCTTGGATGCGTTTAGTGGCTTTAATTTTATTTGTTTTCTTTAATTTCAGAAGTATGTTGGTCACTTCAATACGTTCAATTTTACAATTTTTACTCTGTACGATTAATAAACTTTGAACCTGAAAATAGCGCGTAAACTTGTGCTGCTTTGCCAAAATTTTCTGAACCCCTCTCCACGAAGGAGATGCCCCATCAGGAAATACCGCATTGCGCCCCTTTAACCAGCCAAGGGTCTACGCCCTCCGATGCGAGCCAGTCCGACCCTGCCCCGTATGATTTATTTTTCACGTGTTTATTTTTTCTAAGGAAAACTGACCGCAATTTTTTCTTGAAAATTTCTATACCTCTCCTTACTCAGCATTACTATGAGTTTTCTAACGCCTAAATATTCATTTTTTGTCAAAATTGTTCTACGGTTCTACTAGACCGATTTCCAGGATTTTCGTAATTGTTTTCAATAACCAAAAAGAAAACAGTAATTTTTGAAACATGTTGTTTTACGTTAAAAGTAAATTGGTTCAACCGTGATTGATCCAAATGTTATTTCTTTTAAAGGCATTTATCAATATTGTTCTTACCGCAATTACTTCTGCCTCAGGTATCCTTGCTATGCCCTGTTTATAATATAACAGAATCCTACCAGCATCAAAGAACTTCCGCACTTTCACCAGCACCTCGTTCGCTTCTCCAATGACCCCCAAAAATTTCACCGTCACATCTTTTTGGCGGTCCTTGGCTAGTCTTATCGCATTTTGTATGCCGTTTGCGCGGTTGGTTTCTGTGACCATGAATGCATCTAGTAATTCATCGAAACTTTTGCTCTCCGGAGTGGGCTGAAACGAAAAAGTAAGACATAAAACAATTAAGCTCTACCATAAAGGGCTTCACATCTATAAAGCAATCGATGAAAATCTACCTATTGGACACGCGGAGTTTCCTGACAAAGAGGACATGAAGTTTCCGCGCTTTCCTATGTCGCCTTCAATTTTTGAGGTAGGCAAGACAACGAGCTCTGTGCAGTAATAGTTGCCTACACGACGGTTTGTTCGTCTTATTATCTGCAAATTTTGCCTTGTCGTAAAATTATGTGGGATTCCATCGGACGAATTTGATGCCTCTGTTGTTCTATTCATATCTCAATGATTAATATTAAATATGGAATGAAATAAATATGACTAATGGAAGCGTGCTCCCTCTGATTGCATGCAGACATATCACAGATTTGGATTTTATTGTCATTGTTATACTAACTTCATTTCCTAGCTTTAAAAAAAAAAAAAAAAAAAAAAAAAAAAAAAAGAATCACTGTCTAGGTAATCTATATGCGATAGGCTCAAAAAATTTGAAATAAGTTTAAAAAAGTACTTAAAAAGGCTTTATGATTGAGACCCTGCAAAAGATGTGTCTAAATGTAATGGTCTCTATACTTTACATTTTAAGGAACTTTAAAACTTGTAAATTTCCGCCTGCCGCAGTAAATTTTTATGATTTGCAAACCAGTCACGTCATTATATCAAATTTAGGTACACTCACGGTGGCTTTAATAAAAGTTAGGACCAACGGGAAGGACCACAACAAGGCCAGAATCATATTTAGGTTAACTGTGATATTTGAGAATGCACATCATCGAAATATGAGTGTGGCCCAATCTTATCAAACACAGTGTGATACGAGACTGTACAGTTATAAACAGCACACAGAGAAACCACATTATTTAATTTTTCATTAAGGCTGGAGAAAAATAAAACAATTAGTTGTCCCTCAGACGTAAGAGCTCATCTCAATTTTCATGTATAACCCATTTTTATCACGTAAATTCTTGCTTTCTGGAACCCGCGCGGGAATCGAGATACGCCCTCAAGGCGCACAGTGGATCGAGTCAATCAGAGAAGTCGGACAAGACAATTTCAACTAAAACTGCAAATTTTGATGTTTAATTCGACACATTTTAAATTTTAAGGGGTGCTTCTAAAGGAAAATTTCACGAGAAAATCAATGAAACCATTTAAGAACTTCAAAGTGTGTATAAAAGGAGTTATAAGCGATTAAAGTTTCCAAATTTTGTCCGACTTCTCCTATTGACTCGATCCACTGTGCGGTGTGGAAACGGCGAATTGACGACTCATTTGTTTGGAGCAAATACCAATGAATTCCCATCGGGAACGTTGAAAATTCTCTATTCATTATTAGTAAACATGTTTTTGGACCTGTCAAGGATTTTTACTAAACATGCGGTATGCACGATCGGAAAGAATAATCATATTAGAACATGTTTATTGTTTATGCAAGTTTATCAGCAGTGAAATGTCGTGAACATGTGAAGAGAAGCATTTTCCGCATTTCATTTTTAAAAAAAATTCACCTACAATTTTTAAAAGCTATGAAAAAGAGAGGAATTTGCATTTCAATTTTTTTTTTTTTTTTTTTTTTTTTTTTTTTTTTACTTTGTCTGGATGTGTTTGTAAACTCCAACTGTTTTTTAATTTCTCAAGAAACATCTCGAGGATTATGACTGCACCAGACAATCCTCACTAGATTGTTTACATTTAAAAAACAAGCAGTGAACTCCAACACAATGTGTTGATAAGGCGCGTCATTAACTCGCACATATCAACCCCTTTAGTTTTCATTTACAGAGATTTCAAAATAGGCAAACAGCACAACAAGAGAATTCACGATCCCAACACTGCGAGGATAAAGACACACCTTGACGAGACCGTGTATTGTGAAAGTAGAAAGCTATTCGATCGAATTTAAGTTTTTTGATCTGCCTCAAGCAAAATCTTATCAGATTCTTGAAGAAAAGTGCTACGGAATAATTTAAGCGAAGAAAGGAAAAATTCTGTCGAACTCCTAGAAGATAAAGTCGATTTAAAGGTATTTTGGGGCTAAAATACCCAAATCACCGGTAGTAAAAATCCCGTTATATTATTGAAAAGAAATTGACTCGATATAAATGCAATTGCATTAAATACGTCTTGATTTTGTTATTTTAAACGTCTTTCCATGCAAAGAAGTTCAACCATGTCGTTGCTTTATTCATTCATGAATTGAAAGTAAGCAATCTACATCCCGAAAATCTACTGATTTGCCGTAAAAAATTGCAGAAACTTGATATACCAGGTCGATGCACCCACTCGTTGAATTTACCAACCAATTTTGTGAGTGCAAATGTGTAAGAATCAATATGCTATAGTCATTTTGGGTGCATTTATTTTTCATGAAACAATAATAATTTCAATCCCGAAAAACCATCAATTTTCCGTATAAAATCGAAAAAATCAAAATATGTCAACTCCCCGACGTGAAAATTAGATTCTACGTATGTAAAATGTAAATACTTATGTATCGATATGCTGAACAGAACTATGTGTGGACAGTCAGAAGCCCGCGGCAACATTAATTCAACAGAAAAACTGTAAAAATTAGATAGGATTTTAGCCGCTTTGCCCGCCTCTCCTCGCTACTTACAACAAACCGTTCTTATACTCATCTCAAAATTTTTCTCAGAGCTTTGGGTTATTATCAGCTTCCATTTAAACTCCGGTTCGATGGCCGAATCGGCTGCCAAAAAAGCAAGCCACTGTTGAGGGGTTCTATGAGAAATTCGTGATATTATCGGCTCTCAGGAAATCACCCCATGGCTAAAATTGGTGGTATAAATGTTTAAGTGCTTAAAATAATCGTATTCAAGAAACTAAGGAATTAAACTATGGAGTCAATTTCTTTTTAATAATATAACGAATTTACTACCGGTGATTTAGCTATTATAGCCCCAGAATACTTTTAAAGCGCCTTTGCGTTCCAGAATCTCGACGGAATTTTTTTTTTTTTTTTTTTTGCTTAAACGATTCAAGAAACATTGTAGTTAAAAATATAAAGATTTTTCGATTTGGACGTATGAAAAATGTTTAACTCGTTCAGGCACACCGTGTATTGTATGGAGTACTGCTGTTATTCGACCGTTGTCTTCAGGTCAAAATTCTTACAAAGAAGCCCCTTGCAAGAGGCAAATTTTTTGTAATTTCTCCCAGTTTTTTCAGCGTTAGGTATATAAATGAATTGTTTGTCAAATTTTGAGGTCAATTATATTTAATTGTAATTTATACTTTCTTTTTTTCCCCTTCATTTTATTTTTCGTATCGAGGAGTCGAGGTTTTGTTGATTTCTTCGGATTTCGATTACTGTAACTTCTCTTCTATTCGGCCGATTTTTATGAATGAGGTCTCTTTTTATTTGTGTTTTAACGGAGAGTAAGGAAAAAATTGCTAAATACATGCGAAACAATTTTTTTTGAAAATTGGATGAATCCTAGCGTGACGGTGAAATGGTTAATGAAGCGTGAGTAATTGGGGTACGGGTATCGGCCGCGTTGGGACCCAAGGCCCATTGTTCTTCGTGACGCCGACGCAGTGATCAGGAGCGTGGGGACGAGAGGGCTTAGTGGACTCCTGTATGAGCCACGTTTAGCAAATGGTCTAATGAGTCTCGAGGCTCATCACAGATTGCACTTACCACTATCCTGGTGGCCCCGGCTATCAGAGCAAGGAGTACCAACTTTTGAAAAGGATAACAGTGTTGTGGAGATATGTCAAAGCAACGTTGTGAACAAAACGGAGTGAGTGAAATTCTCATTCAAGGAGTGCCGAACTGGTCAGCCATCCTCGAATCAGTTCGCTTGCTTCCGCTTATATATGCATATTTTAAATCAGCGCGCCCCATTCTAAGGTTTTTTTAAAAAAAACCAAGAAACGTAGACTCTTGGTATTCATTACACATAAACTAGCGAGCCCCAGAATGAGAAACAAATTTTAATCATTATTATTGACGGATTAGTAAACTTTTTACACGCTTTGGAAAATCTCAGAAGTTCGCGGTAGTCACTTTTCGGTAAGGAACTAGGGGACTCGGTTATTGTATCGAGGGGGGGGTCGAAACGATCGCAAAGGCGGTATACTACGTATACGCGCCAAAATTATGGAGCAACGAAATCAGTTCTGTCAACAAACTTTTCGTTCGACCTTACAATTAAATTAGCTACTGACGTTGCAAAACCCTTTATTTTCTTTGACCCCACGTCTTTTTTTTAATTTTGGATCGATGTTGACCAAGTGATTAACGCCCCTGCAGCTTTTCAATGCATCCCGCTCACTCTCTCAAAAGGTAACGTCGTGTGCGTTTTTAACGTCACAGATGCGCCTCGCACGGATGTTCCTCATGAAAAATGATGTTATCATCTCATTCGGCAAGTAAGAGCCCTGACGCGGTGCTGCGACACGAAACATTCATCAGTTGAGTGAAATCCCAGAGGCAAATCCCATCAATGTCCCAAAACCCAACCTGGGAAGTCCCACCATTCCCGGCCGCCTGACCAATGCAGGGCTGCAAAATTGACTCAAAATTACATTTCCCTACGTGACGTGATTTCTTGCTCTTCGAAAATTAAACCTGTGGTGGATCCTCAGTTTTGGCGCAGTGCAACTCTGAGGACGATGAACTATTTCGACGGTGTAAGTCGGCAATCACATATCGACAGTGTAAGTCGGCAATCACATAACTCGTTTGCGGTGTCTGGAAATCTCCGCCTCTACGTTATTTTTTTAAAGGAGAGCAAATTGACATCATTCCTTGAAGTTTCTCCAGAATTTTCTTCGCACAGAGAGGAAAAATCACGGCAGTTTTCAAGAATTGCCGTTGAATAGTTTGTCATTTAAAAACTAAAGTATGGCAGGAAGTCTGCGACGTCGCAAACCGAGTTATGTGATTGCCGACTTACTCCGTTGATTTCAAATTGGAACCGATAGATTGATTAATTTGGAAAAATAGCGAGGTTTTGGTCTTCGAGTTATTCATTAAAGAATGCTCTTCTCGAAAATCATCTTCGAAAATCTTGAGATAAAATCAAAATTACTGTTTCCGATCATGAAGTAACTATCGGTAGGATACATTGAAATCTGTTGCAAATCGGGAACAAGGATTTTGACTTCGTTTAATGATTTTTAAGGCTGATTTTCTGCACGAATATTCATTGATAATTGATTTAAACACTGAATTTTCGAAGTCTTCAAAATAGTCTACCAAATGGTTAAAATTTGAAGTTTATAAATAGTACCCAGAATGCATTGCGCCACAGCTACGGATCCACCACAAGGATGTCTGAGAGAGCTATTCCGGGAGAAAGATCAGCCCAAATAAACGGTGTAAAGTTTGGTAGAAGCAACTCTTAGAAAGTAATAACGATAAAGTGAGGATTGAAAAACTAAGGATGCAATCGATAAAGTGTCTACTTTAAGAATGGATTTTAACTCGCGTTAAACCACAGACCGCTCGGTCAGTTAGCTTTTCGACTCTTATTTTACAGTACAGTTACAAAAATTCATAGCATTTAAAACGCCTTCATTTTGATTGCTAGGCAATCAATGTCACGTAGGAGTTGATATTATTGTATCAAGTCTTTCGTCGCTGATGCGCTAGTTCTTCACTACTGAAGATTATACTTGGGTCTCAATCAGAGAAATAATTCATAAATTGATCCTCTATGTTCAAATCGTGGTAATCAAGCGCGGCTAGTATTACAGGAAATTTTCTAATACAAAGTTTAACAAATTAATGAATTTAGATCCTTTTACATTGAATAACTCCATGCGCAATCTTAGCAACAACGTATGACGCTATAACCAGGTTTTCAATTTTCGGTCTACAACTCGTCGTTTTCTCACGAAGAAACATAACTACATTTCAATGCTGCCAAATTTCCTAGCGCAAATGTCATTTTTACCTGGAGAATTTTCGGAATTTGCAGCTGAAAATTTCACCAAATCTTTTCTGGTCTCATATGAAAATCAGGGGAACTTTCAACAGAAACTGCGGAGGTACATTCATGTAAAATATCGAATTTTTCGCGTCAATTGTGCAACCCTGGCGGAATTTGTAGCTGAAAATTTCACCAAATTTTCTAGTGATCTCATACAAAAATCAGAAAAAGTATTATAAAATTATAAATAAATAAAATGCATGATAAATAAAATGCAAATAAATAAAGTGCATTCATGTAAAGATAGAATTATCTGAGTCGATTTTGCAAACTTTGAACAGATTTAAGTTGGATCCTTCGCCCGAGAAACGATGAACTGGACTGCATCTTGCAATTTGTACCTATAAATTTTGACTCATTTGAAAAAACGCTTATGGGCATAGGGAAACTAATGGCACATGCGGTGTTTTTAAAATTGCAAAATGCAGTCCAACTATGCTGCCGTGCCAAGGAAGAAGATCGTGCGAACATTCGAGAGTCGCCAAATTTCCCTTGATAAAACGTGTATTTTTGACGCAATTTAAGTATATTTTTTCTTGAAATTTCCAGATAATTTAAATTAATTTGCGTACAAAATTGTCTGAAAATTTTGCAGGGAAATATTTACAATTTTCTCAGTATTTTCGGGTTTTATCGAATGAAATTCGGCAGCGTTGGAGGGCGCATACGGCGTTCCTCCTCCCTCAGCACGGTAGTATCCAGGATTTCCCATCTCGATGGCCAGCTAATGATCTCCGGGTTTCTCTCCCGAGCTGGCAACGGCGTAACCACCCTCTCAAGTCCTGTTATTCCACACGTTTCCCGTTCTTCCCCCATTGTCCCGCTCAGTGTGTCACCATCCCCCGTCAAACATAGTGGTTTCTGCCAGCCTTCCGCAGATTTCGGGGTCCATTTCCGTGTCAGTGTGCGCTCCCCTAGATGGACCGTTCCAGTCCTGACCAGCCCCAGTAAATCGATATTTTCGGGAAGCGTTGTGGACCACTCTCAGCCCGCAATCATCAGTGAGCTTTCAGTGCTAAAACCACCAATAGTCGCGCAATAAAGAAATAAAATCTACATCTAATGTGCAAAAAAGTGTCTTTGTCGATTCTTGTTTCCCCTATTTTCTGTGCTGATATTATGTTGGTGTAAATTAATCGAACTCAAGTGCCGAATTGCCCTCAATTCCTTGACCGTGGTCAATTTTTTCTGCGTCTTTTCCCCCGAATATTGTTTATTATTGGAATAAAGTTCGTAAATACAACCGTAAGCTCCACGTTTCAGACTTTGTTTCTGTCGCTGGCTTTTTGAAACTCTGAATATTTACAAACTTTGTTTTCACTGTGTATTATCTGTGATGTATCTACTCGGTATGTCACTCGGGATCAAGAGGCTGTATTATCGCGAAGATTTCCTGATATGATAAGGGCTGATTATCACCGATCCTTGATTACCTATTCGCGTGTGTGATATAACTAAAACTCATCTTGTCTCCTAATGAATGTGCCATTCGCCAATGATACAAACGTTTCCGTATTGTAACTCTATTCCATAAATTCCAGCGCTTTTTTCAGAACTGTGTGGCGGTGAATTTCCATCCAAATCCGCTCATTTTTTTTTAGTCGGCTGCAGAAATTTCGTGTGCTGCAAAATGTGTGTAGTTTGTGATTGTAATAATCTTGTGTGATTTTGCATACTTTTCATTCATTCGCGTAAAAAAGCAATTTACTTCAACCGTGATTTAATGTGCATCGCTTTCTAACATTGCAGTGTTGTCGATTGTAATGTTTTCTCTGTAGACAAACCTCACAGTGAAGAATCATCCCACGCAAATGAACTTTTCGCAATTGTTCGACAGCGTAAACACAAGGAACGTAATTCCGTAACGTAATGTGGTGACATTGACGAGGCTTCGCATAAGACTCGAGTATTGATCTATGATGCTCCATCATAACTGTGCTACGAAGACTGTCTATCTACCGACCCAGTTGTTCCTGAGAAATAATCATCGTTAGGTATGAAATAATAATGTAGTTTATTTGATTTTTGTATACATATAAGGGGCTTGGAGGACAAGGCGCATAAGTACAGTTTTTGCTATTTCGAGAAATGCGTGTTTGAAATATCAAAATTACATGGATCCTTATGGCGGAAAGAAAGTTCAAACTGACTTTTTGATGCTTCAACATTAAAAATAGGGAGCGAATTTCTCACAGAATATGCATTAATACTAGTCTACTTGAAATCATTAATATCTCACTTTTTTCAGAAACTGTACTTATGCGCCAGGTTGTCTTTCAAGCCCCTCATCTGTTATTTATTGATTTTTATTATAGGTACAGAGTGTCCCAAAAGTCCGTACCCCCCGTAACTTTTGAACGGATAGAGATAGAAAAACGAAACTTTGGGAATGTTTCTATCTCAAAGGGGACCATCTTCTAGGGAGGTCAACATTTTGGCCCTCCCTCTGGGGAGGGCGGGGGGCTTTCAACTTTTTTTCAAATGGTAACCCCTATCCTGTGATACATTGTTGGAAAGAGCATTAAAAACTAAGAATTTTGGCGGAAACCGCACAACAATATCTCAATTTTTGACCGAGTTATGATGGGTCAAAGGTCAAATATGACCTATTTTCAAAAAATCATGACTCTGGTAAATGATCGTAGTGAAAGAATAAAACGAGAAAATTTAGCAAATTGTAAGCACTTTTAAGTAAAAATCACAGAAATCATCTCAAACTAATTTTAAGGGAGAGTTCGGACCCCCAAATACACCAGTTCAAAGGTCATACGATTTTCCCACTAAATGAGCCAATTTTCTCTAACTTTGCCTCGACTTATCTCGATAAGTTTAAAATTAGTTCAACATTGTGTTTTCAAGTCTCCAAATTTTGAGTAGAAATTAAAAAAACGATAATTGAGGTGATTAAATTTGATCGTCTAATTTTCCTTTTTTTTAGCGAATTAGAAGCGGATCCAGAAATTAGGCAACACCTGGTTTCGTCCATTTAAATCTATGTTAAGTAATCGATTCTTGCCGGAGCCTGCCTCCTGTAGGAATCGATACATTTCCATAGGTTTGAAAGAAGAAAAATAATGTTGCCAATTTTCTGGATCCGCCAATGTGAAAAATTCCGGCATGACTTTCAGATGATCGTTTATCTGTGAATGATGTAACGAGAGGAGAATTGAGAAAATTTCAGTACATGGTGCATACAATTTTTCTTGGCCTCCCTCTTAACTGATGAAGAGTTCAGTAATTGCTAATTAGTGCACTACAAAGTCTCAAAATGTTTGTTCCGGCAACAAGTAGAATCATAATTCTGTAGAGTAACCTCGGAGACTTTAACGACAGGTCAGAAAAGTTGCGTCGTGAAAAAAGATTGCCGTATGTAGAAAGCTATGCAGGAAACCAATACAAATGTTGCCGTTTTGCCAGGAGAGTGTGAAAATTTTCCATAAAAAACAACGTAATACAGCTTCTCTTAAAACTGGCAATCCTGCACACTGCACCAATTAGTGTCGCTTTTATATTCCGCAAAAAAGCGCGCTCTTGTGTGAAGGAACAACCTGCTCTTCCTCCTTTTTTTGCATGTCCTTTATCTTTATTTGTCCCTTTCATTGGAAAGATGACAAAGGGTACCGCAAGGGATCAACCTTTTTTAGGTGCAAGGCCATTGCCCTGAGTTTTTTTTCCGTCGCACGGGCTCGAATTGCGCGGTTGCCCGATTGCGCAAAGTTTCCCATATAAAAAAATAACACGAGTCCTCTCTACTGCCGTGCCAGGGAAGAACGCCGTATAAACCTTCTGACGTTGCCATATTTCCTTCAATGAAAAATGAATAACCTGGGAAATCGTCAACATTTTTCTCTAAATTTTTCAGACAATTTTGTTCGCAATCTATACTACAAGCTCCAAGAACTCCTAATTTTGCGTTTAACTGGTAACGCTTAGTTTCAGCGTTCTACCGGGCCGACTTTCATGATTTTTGCGGCCATCGACGGGCAATTGTCTCTAGATGATCTCGCTTTATTTAGATTTTGAAAATATGACCCAAGTTTTTTTATATTACGTGGTAAAGTTGCGAATTCTCCCATTTAAACCATTCCGCCACTCTCCGTCGTTTTTTTTACTAAGACTTGGCATGCTACCGAACTAGGCTTAAAATTTCTCAAAAACAGTCATTGGATTCTGAAACTTTATAATAAATCGAATTAGAAAAATCTGCTAAGCATCCTTTCGGTTGCGAACACCAGAAAATGAGTAATTTCTGCGTAAGTTTGGCAGGGTTGGGAATCCCATTCCGCGGAAGTGAGCCGTCCCGTTACTGAGTGCAAAAAACGGAGAGGGATGCAAAAATAGTTCCCGTAAACACAAAACCGTTAGTTTGTTTTCGCTAACTCCACGCGCGCCATACAATAATTGGTAACTAATTGACTTAGAGTGACCGTGAAGATGGTATTGTCGAGGGTTCGATTGTTCGTCTTGTTGGCAAAGCCGCTCGGGGTTTTTTCGTCCAGTTTTTTGACGGAGAACCTTTTTTATCGGCTGAACTGCCGTGCTAAGGAAGAACGCCGTATAAACATTCGAGAGTTGCCAAATTTATCTTGATAAAACATGTATTTTTGAAAACATTCTTGTACATTTTTCCTTGAAAAGTTCAGATATTTTGGATTAAATTGCGTACTAAATTATCTGAAAATTTTAGAAAGTAACATCCGCAATTTGCCCCTGTAAATTTGGTTTTCATCGGAGGAAACTTGGCAACTTCTGAAGGCTCATGCGGCGTTTTTCCTTGGCACGGCATACTACCACCTCATTCTGCCGCACGAAGGAGGAACGCCGTATGAGCCACCAGACGTTGCCAAGTTTCCTCAGATAAAAATCGAATTTACTTCGAAAATTGCGAATATTGTTTTCCAAAATTTTCAGACAATTTTGTACGCAATTTAATCTAAAATATGTGAAAATTTCAAGGAAAAATATGCATGAATGTTGTCATAATTACATGTTTTATCAAGGGAGATTTGGCAACTCTCGAATGTTCATACGACGTTCTTCCATATCACGGCAGCATTGTTTTAACACATTCACCTGTTTTGTAAAAAAAAAAAAGCGCAGGTATTATGTATGTTGTAGATGTATTATACCCTTCTTAGATTTTTACATGAATTATTAGGCGGCATTTTGTCAAAGTCTACCTATTTTTACTCATGATTTTCAGAACGGGGGATGGGTTGCTATAACCTATATTCCTTCGAGATTTATAAAACCAAACGAATCTCACATTCCCGAGTTGATTTTTTTTCTTGACTCACTGAAAAAAAATCCCGGTGTTTTTACTAAGAAAAGGGTAAAATTACCAAGAATTCAGGGTTCTATTTGATCCCAGTTTTTTCTTGGTAAAATTACCATTTATGGACTTGGTAATTTTACCGAGAAATCTCGGTAAAATTATTGAACCTTCCCGGTAATTTTACTAGACCTTGGTAAAAACGCCAATATTTTTTATCGACTGTGGTAGAATTACAGAGATAACATGGCAAAGTTATCGGGAATCGATTACCAATAAAAGTGGTATTCTTACCTGATAGAAACAGTAAAAATACCGGTTTTTTGGTAAACTTACCAGTCTGTCTTGGTAAAATTACCAATAATTGGTAAAAGAAAATGAGATGGTAAAGGTACCAACGGACCTTGGTAAAAACGCCGATAATTTTTTTTAGTGTACCGTCGAAATGCAGCTAAATGCACGCGTTTCCGTATTTCACCTTGCATAAATCCTTACAAATTCGAGCTTAATTTTTGTATTCCACACTCATCAAGGAGTCGAATAGGTAACTAACCGGGCTTGGGAGTGATGTGTGTTGCATACAATAATAATTGCAGGCGTTTCATATTCATGCGTCATGCATTAATTGAGTGTCTCCCAAATTCCAATCGCGCTCTTCAAGGCGCAGAACAGGTAACTTATCGAGCATGTAGGTAGCGCTCGATGCATACCCAAGTTAATGCAGGCGTTTTATATCTCTTGAATGATGTGGTTCGTGTCACTTGTGTTCAGTGGTATAAGTGTTGAGAGATTTCCGTCATAATGAGTGTAGTTATAGCGAGAGAATACTGTATTTCCTTTTTTGTACTTCTTGAAATTGTATCACATGCACTTTTTAATTTAATTTATTAAATTGATTTTGTTTCAGCTGATTGCGACGGCGTCCAAAGGATCATCTCACTTTGACTTTTGCCCTTCGAAATGACTGAATACGGCCTTAGCATGACAAGCCTGACGTCACCACTGGATTTTTCGCGTCACCGGCGTCAGCCCCAGAGGGAATCGAACCCAGAACCTCGAGAAGCACACCTTCCGTCCGCCTCAGTGCTTGATCTGCGGGTCAGGAAAGTTGGAGAAGCAACCGACCAAGATTGCAGGTAAATTTGAGCTCCATAATCATGTTAAATGCGGTAGAAAAAATGCATAAATAACTGGATTACATTTTTCAATAAGGGGCCACCATTACTAGCTCATTTTAGAAACAACACATATGCCATTGGTTTCTCTATGCAGATACGTGCTTTTATGGAAGAACCAGAGATAGTGCTATTGTAAAATGTAATCCAACTGATCGCCGTCGCTTTCCTTCATCAAGTATCATCTGAAGCTGAAAGTGAAAACTACACATTGGGGAAAAAACACATTGAATCTAGAGTCCAGACTCTTGAAAACATTGACAAGAAAAAGGACTCTTGATTCAATCAGATTTAAGCTTAAATCAAAAAGAAATCCGCTCATATTAAGAGGCTTGGTTCTTGATTAAAGCTTAAATCTGATTGAATCGAGAGTATTTTTTTCTTGTCGAGGTTCTTAGGAGTCTGGACTCTAGATCCAATGTGTTTTTTTCCAGTGCAACGAATTATTCGTTCAATAAACCATTGATAATTTAAAAACCAGGATTAATTATTGCATTGCAACAATGAAAAGTCTCGTTTAACAATTTAAACATTTGACTATTCCGCTGTCTGCAGCAAAAACGCAGTAACTCCACTCAAAATGTTTCCCTCTCTTCTAGCACGTACTGTTCTATCACAAGAAAATTCAATTGCCACAAGGCTTCATTTATTCATTTTTAGTTCTTGATGGTGTGACGGAGTTTTATTGAAAAGATGAAGGAAGAGTATTCGTTGGGTTTTTTGGAAAACAGCATTTTGTCAGAAAAAAATTGAAAAAGTGTTGAATGGAGTTACGGCATTTTTCTTTGGACGGCGGTATTCATACACGGTTGCAGCTTTCCTATCGGATTTTCGTCATGATTTGATGAAAGTCTCTCAAAGTTATCCATGTAACCCCTCTTCAAGCAAGAACTAAACTGGCGCTTTCAAACTTGCGCGAATTTCTTAATTTTTTGGCCGGGCTTGTACAAAATTATTTGGAAAATCTCGAGAATTGATCCGGGTTTGTAGCGTCCCGATTGCATTTTTAACCGATCGCCGCTTTGTTTGTTGCATATGCAGCAAAATTGAAGGCGCACCTTAAGTCAAGGATAACGGACAATCAGTTTACGCATTATCTATTGGCAATTGGCACTATAGAATTTCACCGAGCGATTTATAAGTGTTTTTCGAACAGATAACTATTCTTTTTTCGTCCCGAACGCCCTGCACTTCGACGTAACGCGACGGTAAAACTACCAGACGTATCTCGGTTTGCGACGTCAGCGTCGCGTCGCAGACGTCCTGTGTGTGAACTGCCACCCTTTATTTTTTAAATGGGAAACTACTCAACGTCAACTATTGAAAACCTCCATGATTTTTCTTCTCTCTGCGAAGAAAACCCTGAGGAAACTTCAAGGAACGATATTGATTTTTTTCTCCCTCAAAAAAATTAAATAACAGCCCAAGTAGCATTACTGGACAGAAAAATCGCTTTACATATATTGCGATTTTATCAGATGAAATCGCCAAGACCATCAACATCTGAGCGATTATCCTTGCTCTTATCGCGGTAAAATATCGCGCTATTATCACCCGACAATTTATCTTGATATTTTCGAAATAAAAATCGCGATAAATGGCGATTTAATCTCGGTTTTATCGCCGAAAATTGATCGCGATTTTATCGAACCGAAAATTACGCTGTGTGCCGATTTAATAGTCGTGCATCGCAATTTTTAATGCGATAGTATCTCGATATATTTCCACCGATATAATCGCGATAACGAACCGATGAAATCGCTATTTATCGCGATTACAGCTACTTGGGTTTAAACTCCGCAAACGAAATACATGGTCCGGTAGTTTCAACGTCGTCGACTTGCTATTATCACACGTTTCAAGCATTTATGTGCCCAGGCTCAAGATCAAGACATCTTAATGGACCACTGGGCAAGGTACGAATTTAAGCATTCTAATACATGTTTCTTTACCAGAACTTCACGTAAAACACGATTTGCGCAACGAAAATAACTGAAACCAACTCCTAACCGAGATATTAACATTTTTATTTCACATTGGTTACGAGGAATTTGAACTGCCCGCTCACAAGAAACTCAAAGCTCTACTTGAGTCAACGCGTTTACGCGCACTATACATCGCGTTCCAGCAAGCTTCTCAATCGAGCAATGTTCATTTCCCACCATGTGTTTTTCAAACTATAAGCAATGTGCTATAGCTGATCCAAAGCGTCAAGATTGAGGTTGCCAGATTTATTTATCGCAGAGACGTTCATGATAACGTTTAGCGCGCGATGTGAATCACTTAGAGCATTGAGTTTTCATAAGCGGGTGGTTTCAATTCACGCATCAAGAATCATTAAATATTTTCGTAAGGAGTTGATTTCGGTAATTTTCGTGTGCGCATCGTGTTTCACGTGAAATTTTAGTGAAGAAACATGTGTCAGAATGCCGAAATTCGTACCTTATCTAGTGGTCCATTTTGAATCTTATCCGGTCTCGCTTATTTGCACCATATACACTACTTGATCCATCCTCATTCTTAGTGCCTAATCCCGTGTGTGTGTTTGCAGGAGTATGTTCGAGGCCTACGTGGCGAGCGCAGGGACCCCCCCTTCACCGGCCACCCCCACGAGGGCTTCCCGCTCGACGAGCGAGTCCACAGACGACTCGGTTCCCCGCTCACCATCACCCCCGCATTTTCAAAATTCCCGCCAAAACCCGGCACCCGCGAACACCCCAAGGCTCGGACTAAACGCCCCTCTCTACGTGAACACAGCCACTGATGGTCCCCAGAGGCCCTCTGTTCCCGACCCAAGGGCTCCTTTGTCGCCTGCCGCCCAACATTCGCCCACGCTACAGGTAAAAATGTTTTAAAAATTGAATCAGTAAGTTTCGAAAACACACCAACTCGGAAAAAAAATTGTTCAGGAAACACCTAAAACTGCGCAGCAGGCGAAGAAGTTAGTTTAAGGAAAACCGTTTTGGTGCCAAAGGACAAGTACTTAGAGACTTTGTAAAGCACCAAATTGAAATCGATACACCATGTTTGATGACAGAGAATTAAGCGTTTCAAAATTTCCGAATTAGTGTGTTTTCGTTCTCACCGACTTTCAGATGCTGATTTTTCATGGTCTGCCCTGAAAAATTCATATTTTCCGACCTGAATAACGCTTGAATATTTATATAACTCGTTGGTACAAGGTATACTGAACCGAAAAAAGAAAACCGCAAAATCGGATGGTCACCCGTTTCCCTTGAAATGGCCAAAAATTTGTATTTCCATTGAAATACTTCGATTTTTCCCTTTTCCCGTCGCTGTTTCGAGCACTTCCGATTGTAATTTCGAAATTTCCTTTTGCGTGCAGAAGCGTCTATCCATAAGTGGTACTAAACCGTAAAAAAGTGAAAATCGAAAAAACCCGAGTTGTTGTGTTTTCGAACTCACTGATTCAATTCAGCCTTTGAAAAATTCCACGACGAAGGGACGCCCAGTGAAAAGGTGGCGACAAGGGGTTTTTAATCATTGCAAAATATTCAGAGAAATATTTTTGAAGATATTTAAATTTGTTTTATTTGATGAAAATTCCACATAGATTATCAAAGATATTTTAATGCTACGATAAAAAATGCGCATTTTTCAATTTTGGAAATACCTATTGAAAACCTTTGCAAAATATTTTGAGTGTATTTTATTAAGTATACTTTAAAAGCTGTTCATAATTCATATTATTTCTCGAATGTATGCAGTATCGATCAGAACTAGTGATTTTGTACTTTGCGCTGCGCACGTAGCGCACCTACGGGTTAAGAAGACGCTGATGCGCCTGCATTATTTTGCTTGTGCAACACAAACAGTCAGGGCTGGATTTACATTTTTAGCGCCCTAGGCTAAACTTAGGATGACGCCCTTAAAAGTAGGCGCTCTCGTGGGGGTGGGGGGTCCTCCAGGAGCCCTTCCCTTCCAGATCAGAAGGAGGATGTTAGTTGTCAGGAAAATGTTCAAATTCACCTTTAAAAAAACATGATTTTAAACAGTTTTGAGGTACGTACACGTACACGTTTGCAAATTGGTTTTGGAAAATGAAAAGTAATAAAAGAATCGTTCGATTAAAAAAAAAAAAAAAAAAATCTCAACGATTTTGCGCCCTTCATAATATTGCAAACCGCGGTACGATATGTTAAATGTTACAATATCGCGACGAAATTTCCCGTGATTTCAATTAAAATCGTTCGTAAAAGTATTGTAAATTTTTCCGTGAATCCGTGCGTGTCTTTTAATAAATATTGATAGAAATTCAAACATTAACTGTGGTTTGCAACGTTGCCATTAAGGTCAACAAGCTCCTTTTCGCGTGGAACCGTCGATATTCGAGTTCCTTTACGGCAGGCGAGACGTACAACTACTTGACCACGGGTGTAGGCATGTTGCAGCTCCGCCGGATTGAAGGCGCGTCAAACTGCGATGATGTCTTGACCGCCCTGTCGATCCTCGCCGGCGGGACGAACGCTAAAATCGCTGCGACACTTAGAAGATGCGTCATTATTTTTGACTCCCTTCATATTTTCAGCATAAAAAATAAAAATAACTACCCGAATACCTACCATTTTGAATCAGGGGCCATGGTTATTTTCGATAATAAGGAAAATAGGAAAATAGAACAAAATATAATATCGCGACGAAATTTCCCGTGATTTCAATGAATATGGTTCGTAAAAGTATTGTAAATTCTTTCAGAGAATCTGTGCGTGTTTTTGAATAAATATTGATAGAAATTCAAACATTAACTGGATTACATTTTGCAATGAGGAACCACTATTTCTAGCTCATTTTTGAAATAACATAAGTGCCATAGGTTTCCTTATGCAGATATGCGTTTTTAAGGAAGAGTCAGAGATAGTGGTTCCTTATTGCAAAATGTAATCCAACTGTGGTTTGCAACGTTACAATCGAATCGAATCGATCAATAAGCTCCTTTTCGCGTAGAGCCATCGACATTCGAGTTCGTTTACGGCAGGCGTGACAAAACTATTTGACCACGGGTGTAAGCAGGTTGCAGCTCCGCCGGATTGAAGGCGCGACAAACTGCGAAGATGTCTTGACCGCCCTGCCGACCCTCGGTGGCTGGACGAACGCTAAAATCGCTGCGACACTTAGACGATGCGTCATTATTTATGACTCCCCTCATATTTTCAGCATAAAAAACTAAAATAACTACCCGAATACCTACGATTAAGAATCAGGGACCATGGAAAGTTTTCGGTAAAAACCAAAAAAAAATGGAAAATAGGACTAAATATAATATCGCGATGACCGCGATGGTCCATGATTCTAAATCGTAGCTGTAAGAATGTTATTTTGATGATTTTATGCTGAAAATATGAGGGGAGTCATAAGTAATGACGCATCGTCTAAGTGTCGCAGCGATTGTAGCGTTCGTCCCTCCAGCGAGGGTCGGCAGGGCGGTCAAGACATCTTCGCAGTTTGACGCGCCTTCAATCCGGCGAAGCTGCAACATGCTTACACCCGTGGTCAAATAGTTGTACGTCACACCTGCCGTAAACGAACTCGGATATCGATGGTCTCACGCGTAAAAGAGCTTATTGACCACGATTGCAACGTTGCAAACCATAGTCAATGTTTGAATTTCTATTGATATTCATTAAAAGACACGCACAGATTCTCTGAAAAAATTTAAAATACAAAATACACAATCGGCCCTGCGTTTCAATGTGATGCACCTCTCTAAATTCTCAATAAATCTTATTTTTTTCAGAGGATGTCAGACTCCACGGAGTTCATTTCCGGTTCAGCATTCACCGCAACCGGAAACAGATCCTTCGACGCGTCCCAGTACTACGCAGCTCTTCGGTCCCTCTCGAGCGGAAACCCACAAAACTGGATCCAACAAGCGCGAGCTTCCGGCTACCACCGGCTCCCGCCTTTTTCGGAGATCTCACTCGACCAAACGTCCCGCCAACTCGAGCTTCCGGGCCAGACCGGAAACGACAAAGAACAGCGGAAATCGGCGGATTTCCTCCCGATCTCAGTGCTCGCTCACGACCGAATATCCGGGCCGCGTCCGCAGACCGGAAGTGCGGAGGAGTTGGACGGGAGCGGAAGCGGAAGTGACTGCGAGCAGGGGCAACTTCCGGTCTCGACCGGATGTGAGAACGGGAAGGACGAGGCGTACTGGGAGCGGCGGCGCAAGAACAACGAGGCGGCCAAGAAATCGCGGGACGCAAGACGCGCCAAGGAGGACGAGATCGCTGTCAAAGCCGCCGTTTTGGAGAAAGAGAACATCTGCCTCAAGTTGAATCTCGCCGCCTTGAAAAAGGAACACCAAAGGCTCATGCATATTTTGAAATAGTTTTCTTAAAGGCTTTCATTTGTACATTGAAAAAAAAAATTCTTGGGATATATCGTCACCTTCCGGTCAAAGTATCACGAGCGCCATGCGACGTTTCAAAATTTTTGCCGCCGTTTTATTTTTCTACAGAAAATTTTTTGGCCGAATCTGTTTGAAAATTTCGCTACGTTTTATCGCAGCACAAAGAAAATTCAATGAAATTTTGAAACAGATTCAACCAACAATTTCTCTGTGAACAGATAAAATGGCGGCGGAAATTTTTGAACGTCGCATGGCGCTTGTAATACATTGGCCGGAAAGTAATATGTACGCTGAAAAAAAAAATTTCTTGAGACATCGTCACATTTTGGCCGAAATATCACAAGCGTCATACGACGTTTCAAAACTTCTGCTGCCATTTTATTTTTTGACATGGAAATTGTTCGACGAAGCTGTCCGAAAATTTTACCGAATTTTCTCTGTGCTGCCGATAACATTCGGTGAAATTTTCGAACAGATTATTCAACCAACCATTTCTCCGTGAAAAATAAAATGGCGGAGGAAATTTTGGAATGTCGCATGGCGCTTGGGATATTTTCGCCGGAAGGTGACTATTTATTAATTTCACTTAAAGCATCGGTTTTTGTCGACAAAAGTTGGTATTTTTGAGTTAAAGGAAAGTTGTTTTGCTAACGTTTTTTAAACTGGAACTTAACCATGACAAAACGACGCTTTCTTAACTCAAAAAAAAACCAAATTTTGTCGATACGAAATGACAAATCGATAAGGTAGACAAGTCGATAACTCAAGAAAAAATTTTTTTTCAGTGTGTTTCAAGGTTGACGAGAGGGATACTGTCCGTCAAACGATGAAGACATCCATGAAGCTGGATCTCGCTGATCATGATTGATGAAAGTTCGCAAAACGAGGTTTTGTAATTTACGCACCAGAATTGGCTCAATTTTCAGAGATTTTGAGCTTAAATTTCGATTAAGTAGACTAGAGATTCAGTTTTTTTTTTTTTTGTGCCCAGTGACTCCTTAAGATTGGATCACTGATCAGTTTTTCGTAAATAGGAAAGTTTAAATTGAAGCTTATTTGTAATTAATTAGTCTTTTCTTTTATATTTGTGTATTTAAATTTGTGAGGATAGTGTGTGTTTTTCATGCAAATGTAAATTTTTTACGGCAAAATTTTATTTTTTTGCAAAATTATACTATATATATTGAAAACAAATTGAATTCTGTCTTTTAAATTGCATACTTGATCTGGGTACTTTAATATAAAAAAGCCTCCTCCTGATTTTAAATCACTCAAGCAAATGTGTACAGTCTCACGTACAAGAACGCATGTAATAATTGGTTGGGTCATTTTGGTGTGGGTTGTGCTTTACCTTCGAACTGATAACAATAACGTTTTTTCCTTTGATGAATTTACATTTACTTATAAAAGAAATTAATAATTTTAATATTTGATTGTAAATTTAAGAAGCTCTGTGACAAACAATTTGCTTTTCAAAGAGTTTTCATTTTAAGAAAAATTTAGCACCATCTTTGAAGATTTTCAATCAATAAGATATGAATATAAATACTGGAAATACTGACTGTGTGATAATAATTAATAGCTACTACATTGCAATACCTAAAGCCTACAATTATTTTGTATTAGGCGCTTATTAATTTATTTGACGCTTGGATGAGATAAAAAGTAGCTTATTTGGTTTCATGAAAAACTTAAATGAGAGAGCTAAAAGAAAAAAGAAAAACTTAAAAAAGTAACCACCCTATTATTTTATAAGTAACACTTTGGGATGAACAGTATGAGAATAATTCAGAGAGCGAAACTTCTGTAATCAAAATTAAAAAAATTACAATAAAATACAGAGCTACGGACCCCATAATAACCAAAACATTCAGTTCAAAATATGAGAACTGGAAATATATTTGATATATAACAGAAACAAGAAGGCACATCGAATTTTAAACAAAATGAAAAATGCCGCAAATGATTTTTTTATACAATATAAAAAGGAAATAAACGTTGCAGACAGCCCTTCCTCATTTGTTAGCTTTTATTTAGGCTGCACCTAATATGAGAAGTTTCTTGCACCGGGAAAATACGATGTCTTGAGATATTACATGTTTACTCTTGTTAGTTCTCCAAGGGGCCTGCACAATTTTTAGAAAACTCAATTTTCTTCACAATTGAAAAAAATAAATAGATAAAAATATTAGGTGCTTCATTTGGGATCAGTGGAAAATGTTAGGTAACAGAGTTGTTATAAAACGGTGTAATGGATAATTAGTGATAGCCTGTGCCTATTTCCTCCATTGCTTGAACAATATGAACTAATCCTCCTTACTGATTCTGCATTTCACTTGTCTTTTTCCGGATTGCTTATATAATATTAAATCCATGAGATCATGCTCTCATGGGCTAAACCAATACCTGAGGCAATTAATTCTTTGATCGCAATACTTTTCCTTGACTTTCATCCATGTAGTCTAATTAAAAAAAAAACTATGATCACCTTGGCAAAATTTAAGCATTTATTTAAATCCTGGCTTAATACCTTCCGACTTTCTGAGAGGAAACAAAATGGACTGCGTCTCTGAAGAAGAAGATCCTAGCACAGGGTCCTCATTATCCATTATCCTGCATTTTATTAATATTGCTGAATACTGGTAAGCATATCATCATGAGATCACCTTAAAAAGAAAGAAAAAGAAAAAAGTACTTGACAGGGAGAATGTACTTTAAAAACAAAAAGTGACCTTGCCCTGCCTTGGAAACTTTTCATTTCTTGTCTGTGGAAAGACTATTCTGAGAAAATTCCAAGCAATAGACTTTCTCCTTGAACGAAATAAAATGGTAGCAGAGATTTTGAAACACTGCCAACAAGATGCCCTTTTCTGCAATTCCTCTATCAATATACACTTGGCTAGCCTTCAGAATATTTTAAGTCCTTGCAAAACTAATTCTAATCACAAAGAAAAGAGAAGGTCACTTTTTGAGTGAGTAAATGCATGAGTAGTACCTACCTACAAAAGTATGAGTAGATGATAAAAATGATTTAAAAATAAAAAAGGAAATTATTTCTTAAAAGAACGATGATTCTTGCAAAAAATTGACTTGTTCAAAATAATTAATGGTCCTATCACCCGAATTGACAAGTTTTTAGGAAGACTTTTAGACCCAATCAAAAGTTAATAGAAGGAAGAGTCTGTCAAGTTTCTGTAGTTGGTGAGTCAGCCAGCATTTCATCCAAACCATCATTTGGGGAATCTAGCTCTATTTCTTCAAGTGAAAGTTCCGATTTAGAGCCCGGAGCTGGAAACAAAAACACAATATTTGAAATGAATAGTGCATATAAAAAAAAAAACTTGTGAAACAACAAATGGTTGAAATAAGGGGAAAATTTGATTACCAAAATAAGATTGGTAAGCAAAAGTTTTACAAATCGACGGTGTAAGTCGCCGATCATAAAACTCGTTTGCGGTGTCTGAAAATCTCCGCCTCTATGTTGTTTTTTTTAAAAGGAGAGCAAATTGACATCGTTCCTTGAAATTTTAGCAGAATTTTCTCCGCACTGGGAAGAAAAATCACGGCAGTTTTAAAGAATTGCCGTTGAGTAGTTTTCCGTTTAAAAAATAAAGTATGACAGGAAGTCTGTAGCGTCGCACACCGAGTTATATGATTGCCGACAGTGTCGAAATGCTCCAAGGTTTGTATGCTGCATACATTTTATTTTATTTTGCACCAATATAATTATGCAATTTCCCAAATTAAGACAAAATTTCGACTTCAGGAAATGTTACTTTTAAAAACAAAATTGCGTAAAATTTAAGTTTTGATCCGATGGATCCTAAAAAAGGGGCTCCTACTTCGTAATTTTTGACGGGCGTTTTTCATTCTTTCTGTCTTTAATTTTTATTTTTTCTTCTATAAAACAGTTAATGTTATCTATACTGGGGAGGATTGCAAAAAAGTAAAGGTTTTTTCTTTTCCTTTCTTTTCTTTTCTTTTCTTTCTGTAAAAATAAAAGGAAAACAACTTGAAACAGGAGCCATATATGGTTACAAGCTGAGGAAACCCAAAGTACTTACAGGGTGCTGGTAAGGTTCCAGACTGCTTGTACTCCTGGATATCTTTTTGGAATGCTTCTTGACATACTTCCTGCCTTTCCTTCAACTTACTGCTTTGGGTCTGTTCGTAGTGAGTCAGTTTCAAACTATAGTCTTGAGCCAGTTTTACTAGAAACAAAATTTAAAACTACATTAGGTATTTTTTACAATTAGGTAGGCACGTACATGAATAAATACTTACAATAAAATCGAATATTTTATCAATCGAGCTACTTCAGGCGTACAATCGTACATTGACAGTGAGACTGCGGAAACATGTGCTTATCCCGATTTGAGAAGTTGCAGACCTCCTGTCGTCCTTAATTTATTTTTCTTCGGGGAGAATATTTTCTAAAAATTCCAAGCAATAGTGCTGGTTTGTCCTCCTTGGATAAAATAAATTGGTAGTGCAGATATCGCTTGTAAGATACGCATTTTACTATCACTGCCGACATTTCAAAATAGCCCGCGGTTAAGGGATATACATGTTTGCCAACTTTACACGGCTAGCGGTGAGCGAATGTCAAATCAATTTATCGTTTAATTACTTTAATACATAAAACTTTTGAACAATTATCCCTCAATTTTCTCCCCAAACTTAAAACGTGGATCAAAATTTTTTTACGCTCACCTTGGACCTAGGATCCGTATAGTGAAAGGGACCCTAATTGGACTTTCTCGCGTTGTACAGTTGGCACAACAACATCTTGAAAAGTTCCCGCCTTTTTGAAATACTAACCTCTAGGTGTAAACAATCCAAACCAGAACAACTGCTTTCACATTCCGTACCCTCATTCCTTCGAATTCTTCGTTAATTTAAGCATACATTCGTCAGTACCAATAGTAGTATTTCTCGATAAAACAAAATTTTTCTTCTCGTGTCACCAAATTGATCAAAACCAAGAAGTGTCATGAAAGGTGTTGTGATTCCTGGGACCAAAATAATTATAGATTCTGATGAACCAGACCCTGAAGATGTAAGATTCCTCCTCTTTTTACTTTCCTTTTCGCTCAAACTTTCTGTATCATTTCTCAGTATCCTCTTTCTCATACTGCTATCATGACTATCACGTCACATTGAGTTGTAACTTTAACTTTCAACCAAACAAGTTCTGCAGATTTTCATCCAAGTGTTGAAGAAAACAGGTATTGTATAATCTACAACGTAATGCGGAAACAGCACCTTTAAACGTGCGAGAATTCTCTCGAAAGACTTCTTTATGTGTCAAAGAAAGATTGTCTGTATGGTCTTTTACCTATCATACTTTGCTGAACAAATCTTCTCCCAAAATTGAGGCACTAGAAAAGGGCACTTCTCGGTTGCAGTGTTTTAGAGTTTCCTCTAATATTTCATTCAATGTGAGGAAAGTGAATGCATCCATTTCACTAAAAATTTTACTGAATATTCCTTATGATTCTACAATTTTCTATGGAAAGAATTCTGGAAAAATCACCCATTAAAGTCTTCTCCGAGGGATTAATTAGCAACAGAGATTCTGAAACACCGCAATCGAGAAGTTCCCTTTTCGCATCCAGTGCCTTAATTCTGGATGCACCTCTCATCTCAAAACAAATTTTGGTGATCAGTTTTTGTTTCCTCCTGCTAGTGATACTAAGAATCGAAGACATTTGACGTATTTTTGTACTGAGATAGTGCAAAATAGAGATTCTTTAAGCAATTGTCATTTTTTTTTTTTTTTTTTTTTTTTTTTTTTTAAA